CAGTGAAGTTTGTTCTTCATTTTACAGGATTTTCCCCCTAGAGTACATTTTAATTGCTTTTCTATCACAGAGAATGTAATCAAAATCTTACTGAAGTTAAAATGTGTAATAATAGTTCCTAGATCCATTGTATCATTTACATGTCAAAGAAATTTAAAAAAAAATTACCTAGAGGAGTTTATGGTGACTGTTGCTTGGTATTCTGCCAACAAATAAGTAGTTTGTCACTTTTGTGTAGAATTGTTGTAAGTATTCCCTTGATTATCTCCATTTGGAAAATAGATTTCATGTCCTGCAAAAAATCTTGAGGCGTCAAATTTAATAATAAATATAAAAAAATACTAATTTTTTTTAATAGATTATGGGCAAAAAATAATTGCAAAACCTTGTAGACTTTTTATTGATTCATCAAGTGTTAAAAAACTCAATTGATCTGGACGTATTTAAAAACAAACAAACAAAAAAAAAGGTGGTGAATAATTAGACTGCCATGGCAAAACTTTGCTGCTTCTATGTAGAAATTCTTCATGAATGAGGCAAGCAGCGTGTCTTCAAGACTTGGCTTAACCTGTCAAGAGAAAGATGGAGACAGTGCTGTTATGCTTGGTTGCTACATGCAAGCAACATGATGCCATTACAAGTTAAAAAAAAACCCAACAAACCTATTAAAAGTAAGTGCATTCAAGAGTTAAGTTGGTCCCTGTTGGAACCCAGAAATCTGGGTTTTTTGAGCTTTCTGTGCTTTCTGGCATTGACCCCCTGGAGAACACTGCTTTTGACTTGAGGCCTTGGAGAAGGCTTCCAAATTTAAGTGATGGAGTTAAAATCATGGGTGTGTAGTTAAATAGAAGTGTGTGCTTTCACATGGTGAAGAGTTTTAAATTTGAGGTTTTTGTAATGTAATAGGTATGGGACAAAATGGAGGATTTTGAGCGGTGTTTCCTTTCTGTGTTGTTCTTCCTTTTTTTTCATGATTTCAGGCAGTAGTTTCTGGTTGGACAGTTAGTGCTGCACTGCAGGTCACAGGAGTTTGGTTATTGGGTCAAAAGTATAAATAATATAGGTGTTACTTCTCTATTGGACTGTTTAAAAGACCTTGTAACTAACTAGATTTGCCTCCATTTTGCTCACTTTTAGCTGGTAGCTACAAGTGTTGCAGAACTCTCTGTACTATAGATAAGATTTAATAAACCAAGCCCGAACACAAGAAAATTCATCTCCTTCATGTTTTTAATCCTGACTCTGAGTGAAAACAGAAGAAACTACAGACAAGGCACTAATTAAGTAGTGCAGATACCACCTTTACAGATCACAAATCACCGAATTGACTACGCATGCTACTTCCTTTAGTGCTGAGTAGAATCAACAAATGAAACAAATACTCTCATTTCAGGTCCCTTGCAGAGGCCTTTTGCAGTATATTTTTAGGTTTCCAAGTGTTTTTTTGAGTGCACTCATAAGTGGCTGCACATCCACTCCAAGCTAGCCTTGCTTATTTTCTGTTAACAAGTGCTTTCACCTCTTGTGATGGGTGAGACAGAGTACAAAACACCCTGTCATGGGTCAGGATCTTGGGTTTGTTGTAGAACCAGCTCTTGCCCTGTTTGATAATTTCATACACCCAGTTGCTTCCCACAGCACTCCGTTCACATTCCCTCTGTACCAGGGAGGCCACTGGAGCATCAGGGAAAAGTCAATTCCTGCTGTGCTGCTGCTCACAGACACCAATCTCGTGTCTGGCCAAAGTCCCTGGACATCCAGTGACATTTGTCTCTATGCACCTCTCTGATCTTCAGAATTTTCTCCCACTTCCAAAATCTTTCCTCCAATTATTAATTTTTTTCACCTTCTTTCCAGTCCCTTGTTGTCTCATCAATGGATTCTTTTTGGAAATGCTTCTTTTTTGCCTCTTCTTCTTTTCATAATTCGAAGTCCCCTGTTTTCCCAATCTCATTAGTCTGTATGCAGAGCACAGTTCATTATCTGCCTAATTGGGGCTTCTGTCTCACTCCTTTTCATTAATGGGAGATTTAAAATGTGCCATTTTAGTCTTGGTATTATCAAAATTTGCAGCCAGTCCTTTTGGGATGCATCTAGCAAGTAGGAGGAATCTGTCTCAATTCAGAACTGAAAGTTTGGACAATTTTCTCTCCCCCTGCCCCCAGTCACACAGAGTTGTTTGTTACCTGTTACCATTCGTGTTTGGAACTATTTTTGGCCAGGTTTTTATCATTATACTGGATGAAAATCTTTATCTTAAAGTGCCACTTGAATTTTTTTGTTTTTGCAAGAAATGCCAATACAAATGAAATTCAATATATTTACATGCTTAGAGGTATCCTGAGTAATAATTCTGATTCTATTGTTTATTTCTACTAAAATTGACTAATTCTTTTTAAAAACTTAATTACTGTAGAGTGGTTAGCTGGCAGATGTTCTGCTAGATTTGATGTAATTAGGAAAAATACATTATGTTTTCTGACTAATTTATTCACAAGCCTTTGAGTTAAGTAGGTTGATTGATAGTAGGAGGATTAGCTGAAAAACAACAAAAATGCTTATTTAATTAGCTAAGATGGGAAAATATTCCACTTAATGGATTTTTTCTTTATGCTCTCATTTACACAATTATAAAGCCTATAGTTCAAGAAATGGTTTTTAAAAAATAGTCCTACCACGTTTCATTTCCACTGGCACATTTATGTGGCTGCATGGCAAAACTGGATTGGGTGATCCAGATTTAACAGTAAATGAATTTTTTGCTCTTTCTTTTTAAGCCAGCTTTCTTCCCCAGCTACTTTGCTGACACTCAGACAATTCTACCAGCATGAAAGCAAGGATTAGTGAAAGCAAAAACAAAGTACAAAAGTGCTGTGTCTGGTGTCCCTGGCCATGGTAGGGGCCTGGAGATTGATGATCTTTAATGTCCCTTCCAAACCAAACCATTCTGTGATTCTGTGATACAGGCACATCTACTACTGCTTAAGTGTGCTCAAGTAATATTCCCACCAGAAGACTAAAAGCAGCAAATAGTATATCTAAAGTAAAATATAAGGGAAGCTCAAAAACAAAGTTTCTGTTTTTGTTCAAAGCATATGGTTTAATGAGTTTCCATAACCATGCTCATCAAATCCATCTCGATTACTAACCAGAAGAATAATTCAATATTGGACCTAGTAAAGCAGGAATAATTAATCTTAAAAAGTTAAAAATAAAAATTTGAAAATGGTGATTTATTAAAAATACTGATATTATGTGCTGAGAGTCTGAACTCTATTAATAAAAAAAAGACAGTTTATTGATTTTTATAGGTCTCAACTATAATCAATAAAATGATGAATTTATGTTAGAAAGACTGACTTTATGCTTCCAAAAATGTATTTGCTAACTTTAAAGTATTTGTTTTTGCAGCGACTACATTAAATGTTTTTTAAATAACTACAAGCAGGTTACTGAGAAGATGGGATGAAAGAAATATCTCATACTGTAGATATTTGTGAAATGGATGTCTGAATTGAGTTAAAATGAATACTGTCACAATTTAGATGTCAAGGCCCATATTACTATAGTCTCTTCCTGTCATAAGTAACAGGAAGATGTTATATATCCAGTCAGACTCCATTTTTGGTACCTTCCAATATGGAGTTTTCAAGACTTGAAAGTTGAGTTGGTGCTTGAAAAGTTCTTTCAGTTAAGCAATTAGGAAAAAAATAATTTTGACACAGTGAGATGAATGCAAGTTTTAATTTTGTTTTGTTAAAGAAAATGAAATATTCATGCAAATAAGTTTTTTAATACTCTTGGTTCTTTAAAAAATATATTTAATTAAAATATATTTAATTAATATTTAGAATAATATTACCTATGAATAAGAAAAAATAAGGAATTTTGATGCCTAAGCATCACCACACTGAAGCAGTGGCAAACTAAAATCATTACCAATGTCAAAGAGTTAAGCTGGATTTAAAGACCTTTGTTTTTAAGTTTTTGCAGCATCTGCTCCTGTTTTTTCTTATAAAGCTGGATGAATATGCTAAAGCATCTGCAAGTTGGTGTGAAGTGATAGACATTTCAGTTTTTTGATACTGGCTCAACTGTAGTCTATAAGTGTCTTCTCTTTTTCTGCATAATGTCAGATCTCTCTTAGGATCTGGTGTAGGGGTTTTTTTTGTGGGTTAAACTAATTTTTTAAGTGTAATAGTGAAATGAAACCTTTATAATTTGTCCCATATGAGAAAGCTTGATCCAAGTCCATCTGAAAACATTGCCATTGGCTGAAATCCAAAGTGTTTCCTAAATTTGGGAGCTTGGACCTGAGACAGTAAAGTTGTGTAAATGCAGTGTTAAATAGTTTAAGATATAGATGCTTCGAATAAGAAATTATAAATAAACTCTATTTAATGTTTTAGTAATCCATTTTATTTTAATAAAAACATTAGAAATATAAAAAATTATCTAACCTTCTAGGGCATTGGGATTTACAACAGTTGTAGAAGTGGTAATTTGTGCTGTAACAATTGAGCTGTTAGCTCTCATTTATATTGCATTTATGCCAAATAATTTAATATGACCTTAAAGAAAATAATTAACCTTTCTTTGTGTCTTAAGCATTTCAATTTTAAAGGATTTCTGCATATTTTCATGAGTTTCAGTAGCTCTATTAATGCTAGGCCTATAGAAATTAAAATTTACATATTTAGGCTTCTAATATATGAGGTTTAGATTACTTGTTTTCAATTCTGCTGTGATAAATGTTCCTATATGCTGCAGCAGATTGAATAATAGTTACAATATTCTACGTGAGGTTTTTCAAGTTTTCAGCAACAGCTCTGAAATAGAAATATACCAGTGAAATTCTACATGTGAATGGATGTTTCCTTTTCCTTCTTATGTTCTTTCCTCTACTGAGTGATTTCAAATAGTTATGAAATCTATCTAGAACAAAACAGGCGTCTTGGGGAGAAGAGAGTCTCACGAATGTTGCTTTGTGTTTTAATCAGGTGGAATACCACCCATGAGATGGATAGTGAATTTTGACCAAGATCTTCTAGATGGTCTGGTGCTGGCAGCACTGATGACATCTTATTGTCCATATTTGGTAAGAAGTTTTTTTACCATTGTGCAAGTTGCAAGTTTTTGCAGTTTATTAATGTCACTGTGTTTGTCCAGCCTTGTTTTACTTTGCAATGCTGAGGAGTGCATTGAGTGCAGGAAGCTCAGGTGTGGCTGTGCTGTGAGCTGCAGGTGGAGTTCTGGCTGCTGGGAGCCCAAGGAAAGGGAGCTGGCACTGAGCCTTTGCTTCACAAAGGTTCTGGGGAGCTGAAGCACAGCCAGGTGACCAGAGGGACAGGGCAGGAGTCGAGGATCCAGCAGGAAGACCCCAGGCTTTGACACTCTCAGACTGAGGGTGTGTAAAAACCCAGGGTTTCCTTTGCATGGGGTCCCTCCTCAGAGGCACCAGCTCGAGGTGTTCTGTTCTTGCACTAAGATTAAATTTTTTTGAGGATCCAGATGGCTGAGACTCTGCTGTGGGAAACCTGGGCTCGAGACAGTAGGGAAACCTTGTCTGAATGGGAGAGTGGGGTGTGTGGGGAGTCAAGCAGGGCTTCCATCACTCACTGCAGCCTCCCACTGCAAGGGACCTCCAGTCCCAGCTCAGGTGGCTGCCAGTGGCTCCTGGGTACTAGGACAGGGAAGTTTCCTTAACAGAAACTCTTGGCCTGTGGAATTTTTAAAAAGGAAAAAAAACCCACCCCAACATTTAGCAAGTCATGGGAGACTATTTCAGTATTAATTTTTCTTTTTACTGGGTTTATTCTTAACAGGGAATTTCAGTTCAAAATTTAGATCCTATTGATTTCTGAATGAGCAAAAATACAAAAGCAGTAATTTTGCCTAGTAGAAGAAGTAGGAAGATTGAGTTTTATTTCTCTGTCTTGTCTAGATTAATACTCACTTCATAAAGATGTATACTGATCCAAGAACTCATGAACAGTTTCTGCACAACTCCTTGATAGTTGTGAAGGCTCTGCATACTATCAGTCTCGATATAGACATAAAGGTAGGTGATTTTATACTAGCAGCTCTTATATATGTTATTCTTTTGATTTTGATTTTTTGTATAGTAGTGTTGCACGTCCAGTTAAGGTGAGATTGTAGTGAAACAGTTTTATTTCAGGATATGTTGCTGATGGAAACCAAAATACTGCTTCATATGAATGGACTTAATTAGAAGTAATTTCCATAATTCTTTTCTTTGTAGAATCACACATGCACAACTAGCTGAACATAAATGTTTTGGCTTGAAAGACAGGTGTCTGCAAAGGAAGGCAAGACGCTTTCTTGAAATGGAAAAATGTAAACCCCCTCCCTCCAAATTATTATAATTTTGAAATTAAGGTGCTCTCAGGCAAAGATTTGGGAATAGGAATAACAGTTCTTTACTAAGAAAATTAAAATAAAAGTACAGTAATACAAAAAACCAAAACACTGACAGAGTCAGAATACAACCTGACACCCTGTCAGTCAGTCAGGGTGTTGGTGCAGTCCCATTCAATGGTGGCTGCATCCTCCTGCAGTGACAGATGTGGGTCAGTTGAAGCAGTGCTCCTGTAGAAGGTGCAGTTTTCCTCCAAAGGTCCAGTGATGTAGAAGGGTCTGGTTTTTCTTTGGAATCCAGTGGAAAAAGGCTGCTCTGATGTTCCAAATCTCAGTTTTTATGTAGGTAGGAAATGCTTGGCTCCTCCCCCTGGCTGGAGCATCTCCCAAAGGGATGATGTCATTTTATCAGTCATGCAGTGGCACTCAATGGCCCATTGACAGGAGAGATCTCCCTGGAGGAAGGATGGGTTGTGGAAAAGATAAAGATGACTGCCCATTCTATCAGATGATGATAGGATACATACTTTTGGTCACATCTTGCATTACAGCCCAAGACAAAAAATTAATTTAGTTCAGATTTTAGCGTCCTAAATCACACAATGAAAACTCTAATGGAATTCTTTATTACTATTGGAAGGCAATTTAGAAAAATATGTGTAAGAACAAACATCATGCACTTAACCATAAAAAGAAGTGGTGAAAAAAATTATATGAATGTCTGGCAACAGTTACTTGCATCTAACCATGAAGGCCCTTGAGAGTTCTGCCTCAGGTTTGATGCACACAGAAGTCAGCAGCTTTGGATGCTGGTGAGAGTAGCACTCACTCAAAACCATCAGCTCTGGTGTCCTTTTTTGGGGAGGAATGCAATGCTGATAATTGTTGATAATTTCTTCCATCAAGGATCTGCTTGGGATCTCTTTTATATGTTTAATAAACATGCTTTACATCTCTGTGGTTTTTATTGACCTATGGCACCATATTTTCTATATACGGTGACCTTACATAGGTTAGATGTCATTTCTTTGTTCTTTTGTTGTCCCCGAACCCAGTTTTCTCCTGCTCCTAGTCTGCATTTCTTTAACTGTCCATTTGTGAGTTACTTATATCTCTGGGAGCATATTGGGCTGTCCAGAAGAGCAGAAGAGGCAGTAGAATAGAGACAGTATTTGAAAGTGTATGAGGAAACTTTCTGAAGGAAATTAATGACATTAGGAATCAGAGGTGGAGCTTATTTGTGTGAACAAAGTATTATAAAAAGAAGCTTAATTACAACTTTTTTTCCCCTTTCCATTTGACCGTGTTATGATTACATGGAAAAATTAACTCTGCTATTTCCATTTGTATCAGCTGCTGTCTTGCTGTTGCTTCCTGATACCGATCACTCTGTTAGAAATGACTTTGCTATGACAGGATAAACAAAGAAAATCTACTGCTTCCCATACTTGTGACTGACAGGAAGCAAAAAAGTAATCTGGGTATAACCCTCAAAACAAAGTCATATTCTGCCTCAGCTTATATTGAGAAAAACATGAAGTTCAGCACATGAAGGAAGAGGCCTGATGCCAGATATGAAAGGGGTGTTGAATACTTCAGATGTGGAAGCAGAATTCTAGGATATTCTCCTTAATATACCTGTTTTAAGACTAAATTGTGTACAGTAAATGGGACAATCCACTTTGTACAGACTAACAATTTAAACAAAGGTACAGAGTCAGTACCAGAAAAAGGAACAGATCTTGAGTCTTCAAGGTCTGTATTTTAGTTCAAAGGGTACATTTTACATAGATCTATTGAAAATCATGAATACTTTTCTAAGGCTATTATAGAAACTTCTGAACTATCTTGTTCTGCAGTGATAAAAGTAACAAAACAAATAAATCCTTTTGCTGAACTCTCTTAATTTGGGAATTTTCTGATAGTCTTGTCTCTGAAATTTAGTGGGCTAAAATGTTCCAATAGCATTGACAAAGTTCTTGACTCAGGCAGTCATTGCTTTGGAGCTCTCAGGATATTTGCATTAATTAACAGCACACGCTGAGACATGTTAGGTCTAGAACAGCTGGCATTTTCAATCTAAAAATCTAAGAATCTGTAATAATAAGGAAGGGCTGTCTACAAGTGTTCAGCTTCAGGTGTAAATGACACTTTTAATGGAGTTCAAGGCTTTGAAATCCTTTTAAGGATTAAGGTGTAGATTTAAGATGGAGTACTTTGGGCAGGAAATGATTTCCACTTTCTAATCATGACTTACAGTTCAACTCTAGAGTATTAGTGGTGGCTTTCTACGTGTTTCTAATTCAAATAAAATAAAAAAAATAAATAAAATAATAAATAAAAATAAATAAAATAATAAAAAAATAAATAAAAAAAATAAAAAAATTCAAATCAAATAAATTTGATATTTTTAAGTTTTAAAGTGCTTTGATTTGAAGAAGATTCAGCCGAAAGCCTAAAATAAAGTATTACAAGATAGGGTGGTGGATAGCAATAACATGGAGGGAGTGTGTGTGACAAAGAGATAGGATAGAAGGTGCAGTGATTGGAAATAGCCAGTAAAGGAAATTTGTTTCAAACTTTTTTATTTATTATTATTAAGTTATAATTACTGCTATTGTTTGCTAGCACATATTTTTTAAAGCAAATAATATTTACTGACTGTGAATTTTCTGATTAATCTTGTTAAGAAATGCATTATTCTTTTATTCGGTTATTAGACTAGTAGATAAATGCCACAAATGGAGTTTTATGAATTCATCACAAGATAGAATTGTATTTTTTGAGGGAATAAATTCTGATCTAAGAGGAAATGGTAGAAAGAAGTATGTGGCAGAAGAAAGTCTTCAATAGATAATCTACTCTGGCATCTTTTCTACCTTAAATCAAAATGCAGGAAGAATGAAAAGTAGGGGTGTAAAATCAAGACCATATTCAATAGCCATTACTGAGATAAATGAATGGAAAAATCAGAATGCTTTTCAGACTTCATATTTAAAGCTTTTGGCACAGAAGAACCTTTTTTTACTTTGCATAGTGAATGCATTCTAAAGTTTGAATCTTCAACCAGTCGTGATGGAATTAAACAGAAATATGAGATGAGATGTATGATTACAGCAGTGCATGAAAAGTATATGAAATTAATCTTAAGAATTATAAGGACAAACATTATCTAAGAAGCCATGAAGAGTTGCAGGGAAGCCTCAGATCATTGCCCAGTTCTGAACTCACTCTCTTGGAAGGTTAGAGGAGCTGTGTGAGAGCTGCTGGGAGTAGGATGAGCTGCTTGGCTGGGCACAGGGCAAGAGAACTTTACCTCGAAAACTTTAAATAAATGTTAACTTTAAAATACAAATTAACTCGGAGAGCTAAGATGATAAACATGTCTATACATCTTTCTTGCAACACTAAAGACAGTCCAGAAGAGTAAATAGATTTTTCCTCCCTTTTTCATACTCTGTGGCAAACTCTCCTCAGTGACTTACTAGAATTGCTGAGGAGTAAATTTGACATGTTTTGCAGCTGCCACGCAAATTCATTTCTGTAAATCAATTATTTAATCTTCAGGAATACTTGCTACGTTTTATAAAGCAATTTACTAAAGTATAAAAGTATCTGCAACAGAAACAACTATATTGTTGTTATTTGGAAAGTGAAATTGTCTGCATAAACAGTTGCAGAACTGTATGTAGGAGTATTTGGGATAGTATTTTATATAAACTAAAATATTTTAATTTTTTTAAGATAGTAAAGACATGTTTTTTCAGACAGTAAAATTTCCTTGCTTTTTCTGTTATGCTGTATTTAATAAAATTAGAATTTGTTTCTGCTGTACCTTAGGGGAAAAAGTTGAGCTTAATTTTTACCCTAGGTTTATCACCAGAGCATGTTAATAGTTTTCATTAATCTGGGATTTTTTTGGTGCAGTAACAAGATGCATATTCTTATTAGCCATGAGAATAATCCAGTTATTACTGGTTAGATTAAAAATATCTGTTTAATAATTAACTTATTTTTTTCTTCTTCTTCTTCTTATCTTTACACTATACAGGCAAATTTTTGACTGAACATCTATTTTTTTTCTTTATTTTTTATTTTCAATATTAGGCCACTGATATCTGTGAGCCAAACCCTGTCATGATGCTCATTTTGTGTGTCCACCTGTATGACACTCTCCCTCAGTACTTACCCAAGAGCACTATAGAATTTGCAGGTGGTCTCCATGCAACTATTGTGAAGCAGGTATTGATACCATTGGATTTAGATTCATTGTAATGCAAGCTTAGAACACTGTGTGTATATATATGTGTTTATATTAAGTATTAGCTACACTGTGTGTATATATGTATTTATATTATGTATTAGCTACGACAAATAATTAATAGGTTTCATGTCATTTGGCTAGTAAATATAGAAGATGAAAGTGTGCATTTTCAGTTTTTATTTTCTTTAGTCTTGGGATTTCACTTCTGTTTTTTACCTATGCTTGAAAGCACATGAAAAAAATCTACAAATTTGACAAATCTGAGATCAAAGAGAAGAATAAGAGATTCACAGGCATAGGAGCGCAGTGTACACTGCACTCTCAAAAATTAAGGTTAGATAGTCTGTGGAAAATCTATGTTCCTTTGGAAGGAAAATTATATACCCAGTTATTTGAAGTAGTTTCTTATTTTGTGATATCCGTAGTTTGTATTTTGGAACTTACCTGCGGAGCACACCTTTTATAGTCTGAAAAATGAGTAAAAATAGGCTGATCATGTTTTTGTTGTGGTAGGTGCACCTGAAAAACCCAAAGAGTCATACTTTGGCATACAATGCTATTGTTGTGGGAAGAGATGCTGATGATTTCTCTTTACCTAAAGGAAACACTGTTACCATTCCCCCCACGTAAGTAATGACTTGTTAGTATAATTATTTGTAGCATTTCAGAAATAGAAACTTAGTAATTTAAGAGTGGTGGAACTCTAGAAATATGTTCAACTACAAGCAGGACAAAATTAGTTGATATGAGGGTTTTTCTCCTTAAGATGGATTAATCTAGCGTAATGTTTCAGTGGGACTCTTGCAGTTGAGTCCAATAGAGCTTTAAGAGCAATACATAAACCTTCAGATCATTACAGGAGTCATCTGTCTCAAATTTATATTTTTTTCCCTATGTGTCAAAACCTGATTCACATTTTCTACATCAGTGCATTGTAGAAACATGAGCAGGTAGATTTCTTTTCTTCTGAAGTCTCAGATTTTGTCTCTTCTTCTTAATTTAAGCATGACTGGTAATTAGAGACCATGACACAGGTTTGAGTAGTATTAAACTGCATCTTTTGGTCCCGATCCTTCCTCCCCAGCAACATGGATGTGATGTAGTTAGTTGTTCATCTTACATGCCTGAGAGACATCTAAGGGTTTGAGAGAGATTTAATTTTGGGAAAGCATTAGGTTATAATTTCTGATAGCAGAAATACTCATGGTATATCACCATCTCATTGTTTTTGTTTGCTAAGTACATTTTGCTCTTTCTGTGCTATGCAGTTATGAATTAATACAGGAATTTCATTAATCTCAGTTTAACTAGTGAAGACGAGAGGGATGTAGTGGTGACTCTGGCTGTCAGTTATCAGTTTTTAAGTTTATCTGCAAGTTATCAGTTTCCAAATAAAATGGATTAGAGATTGTAAAAAGGAAAAAGAAAAGGTCAGAGTTTCTATGAAAATAAACCATGAAGGAGAAAAAAAATTCTAATATAGATGGTCAAATTCAAGAAGACTCAACATAAATACAGTGCTCTTTAAGGACCATCAATATATCAGTAGTAAATTACATGCCTATTATAAATATATGCAAAGAGAACAACAAATAATGGAATGCTTTCTGCAAGCTGTGAGACTAATTTGATTCCTTTTTCTTTTCAATTACTTCAAATCAGTTATCATATAAGTGTAATCCTTGAAAATACCATGTGTTTCTATGAAAGGTCAATACCATGACTGTTTTTCACTTCACCTTTAAAAAACACCCAAAACAAACCACAAAGCAAAATCAAGAAAATGTGCACAACGTTGTTGTTGAGCTGCTTGGCATTATATATAGAAATAAATATTTGAAAAATTGCATAGAAATAAAAACCTGTGGAAATGCCACATTGACCTCTGTAGAGTTTATCATAATGTCATGATCATTAAATGAAAAATAGGTTCTTTGAAATTAATAGCTTTCTTAATATTCTGATGCAAGTGTTTAAAAACTGCAAGAATTGACAAGATGTATGGGATTCTTGCAGGTTCTTTGTTAGATCATAATGTTGGGGATGGGTTGGGAAATTATAATCATGTGAATAACATTCTCAGTGTAGCTGAGTGTCACATGTTGCATATGGCATCATTCATTCTTGGTCTGAGATTCCCACTCTCCAGAGCACTGCACTGTGCTGTGTGGACTTGCAGTTCACAACAGGAATAGCAAAAACCCCCAGGGTTACAGAACAATTCTATGAGATGAATTTGCCCTCACTTTACACTGGTCACAACATGGATTAATAGAGATAAAAACTAAGCAGCTTTGTGGTTTTGCCACACAAGGCAACAATTCAAATCCAAATTCTCAGCTGTTGTGTGAGTCAGAGGACAAAGATGAGGCAGAAAGTGCTGTACTCTTATTTGTGACCAGAGCAGACTTCATAAAACTTGACCCTTAAAGTGGCTCTGGGAGTGTATGTCTCAGGCAGTTTATTCCTCTGGGTGCCTGAATCACAGCATGTTTTTTCAGAACATTTTGAATGGTGAGGTGACCTAGGAGCCTCAGACTCTGGGGGTCTTGGCAAGTCTTCAGTGTCATAAATGGACCTGTCTGGGGGCTCTGCAGTAGGAACTTGAAAGCTGTAAGAACCAGTTTTACAGAACTTCCAGGATTTTACCATGAACATTCAGAATTGACAGTTGGAGACTTCTTGCCTTCTTAAGACTAATCTCAAAACCAGAGAGACATTTTGAGAGCTTCAAAGTGAGAGCTTCAGGCATTAAAGTTTTCTTATTGTTCTTGCTTCATTGAAGGACTGATGCAGATGGTGTCTAAATTTGTACCTAGACTAAACTCTTGTTCTATGTGGTCTTCTCCAGTTTTCCCATTAGAGAGAAGGCATTGCTTGTACAAGAGAACTTTGTTTTTTCTCCCTCTTGATTACTTAGCTTTAGTAATTATTCTGAAGGGTTTTTAACTAATTTCTTTCTCACTCTTCAATGATAATTTGATTGAGACTATCTAGATCTGCCTCACAAAATGCATAACAGGCTGACTGCTTACCTCAGAAAAAGCCTATTAAGATATAGGAGCATGAATTGGATCAGTTTTTAACTTAGGATGATACTCTAATGAAAGAGAACTTCCTGCACTAATGTGTGTGTGTGTGAAGAAAAATTAAGCTATGTGCTGATATAAAAGAAAAATGGATTTAGTATTGTTCTTTATCTATATAGTTATTTTATTAGGATGTTTTAAGGTACTCTCAGGCAGAAGTTTATACTACAAAAAGTATTTCAGAGGAAACAAATTGCTTTCTTTTCTAGGACCCTTCCTTTACAAAGATTCTGAAATGTGCTCCTGAAATTGCATTTCTGAATAATTTCTGAACCCTGGTTTTGTGCTTTTTTTTCTGTAGGAGGGAAGACTTTATAAATGTGGAATTCACAATTCGTTTCCTGCGCCCTGCTGAAGCAGTATTGCTACTGATCTCAAATAAAGTTGATGGAGTAGATGGTGCCACACTGACATTCTCTCTGAAATCTGAAGTTAAAAATATTGACCCTCTTGTAAGTTTATATGTGTATCAATACTGTCACCAAAAAAATTATTATTCTGTAAATTATATCAAACAAAGGGGAAGTGAGATAAGAATGAAAATGTGAGTTACCATCAGCATTCGCCTTTGACCTATGAATTTTCAGATTTCCAATATTAGACTATGTACATGCAGCAAAAACCCTAGAGGAATATGTAAGATTCCTAAGGACATAAATCACTTTTGGATCCTGAAAAAATTGTAAAAATTTGCATTGATTGCTCTGAAAATAAATCTGGAGCCCTTTCTGCATCTGAATGTTACCGGAAATCCTGTTATGGAGGTGTTTATGTGCTTCAGCCTAGTGATTTCAGATGTCCTATGTCGTTGGACCACAAGCTTTTGTTAGATGTTTCTGTATTTATTTGTGCTTTTTAACCACAGAAACTCTGTAATTGTCAGATATGTTCCAGTCAGGGCGGGCAGACCCATGTTTGTAATCCACGTTCATTGAGCACATCTGGATAGACTTCTGAACTTAGATGGTGTTTATGTGATCCTCTCTTTTTTTTTAGCCCCCCTGACTCTGTTGGAAAGGAAAGTTGGAGCAAGAGACAAAATAAAGATATAAGAAGGAAAAAACAATGATAATTTGATTCTTGGCCTTGTGGTTTTTGTTCTCTTTTAGGGTACGATAAAGTGCAGATCTCCATGTTATGAGCTGAAGAAATTTACCCTAAATGTTACTAATCCCTTCAAAATGGATGGCATATTCAGGTATGGCATATTCAGTGATATAAGGACAAGTCTCGAATGATCATGCTGTTTCATCCACTCTTTTCCATAATTTTCTTCTTCTTCTTAAAAATGTAAAACCTGGAGGTTAAATGATAGAGATTTACATTCCCAAAATTGTTACAAGCACTAAGAAGTGGAAGTTATCATAATGAATAAAGAAGATAAATAAACCTTAATTGAAATTTGTCTCAGTGTAAGTATTAAAGCTGGAGCTTTAATCAGAGTTCATGAACCTTGCTTGTATTTTTGTGTTTGGCTGAGGTCCCGCAGAATTACAAAGAGAAACAAGCTATGTTAATTAATAGTTGGTTATTTTTTCCCCAATCTGCTTTATCCTGCTGTTTAAGTTATTAAGCATGCAAAAGAAAAAAAAAAAAAGCTTTTGCCATGGGGCTTGCATCATTATCAGTTAGTCTAATTTTTAATTTGTATTCATCATAGCTGCAACAACTGCAGAGTTATAAATATTACTTTCCTTAGTACAAAGGAAATAGATTGTTGTGCCCCTTTAAAATCTATTTATTTGATCTGACTCCATATTTTGTTTTAAGACTTTAGAGCTAAGCATTGGTTCATCTCATCCATTTATTTGGAAGAACCATCTTTCACAACATTTTTAACTTGTTTTTTTTATACAACATGAATATACATGTTTCAAAAACTGCAAATTAAATTTCTCTTCCCCCCACAGAATAGGATTGGTATATACAATTTATATTGGGATATAAATTGGTATATACAAAACAACAGTAACAATCCTGTAACAGGACTGTTTCCACTGCTCCAAGCCTCGTGTGTAGGAATCATATGAGTTTAATTAGTTTCTGTCTTTTATTTTGAAGTCCTTGAGGTGGTCAGTGAGGTTGAATAAGTCTTAGGATTTGGATAACTCACTTGGAAATGATGAAGTAATTTAGTTAAATATAATTTAGTTTTATATAATTCAAAAGCTACGTGACAACTACATTAAGTCATTATCAATTTAGGCAATATTTGAACCAGTAATCTAAAGGTAAAATTTTTAGTATCAGGCTTCCAGTGTTTTGAACAATCTAGTGTTTCATCAGGGGATATATTATTTACTTGCAAATAACACTAGGAAATGCTAGTTTGATACCATGGGAGAAGATCTTTTACAGAAAAACTGGAGTTAAACCACAACAAGTACTTTTAAAGTATCTTTAATTGAAAATAATAAGCTTCTTTACTGAGCCTGCATTTAAAAGTTAGAATAAATTGAGTTTCATCTTCATTCTGCAAGTTGAAAAAGCAGTCATTTTGCATGCTTGTCATACTCCAGGGTAATTTTGCTGGAATCCACACACACCTGTTTAGTGCACCCAGAGAAAGTGTATCAAGCCAAGCAAGTAAAGCAAGAGCAAAAATTTAGGTAAGTTCCAGATAACAATTGCTAACTGTAATATATTGGATCATACATTTCTATTAATACTATCTATTTGTGCATAGCTGTGTGCTATCTGCCATAAAGAATCACAGTTTAGGACATGGAAATATCACAGAAGGTGCCCAACCAGTCCCTGAGCAGTGGGAGGCCGTCCTGGCCAGCTCTGCCTGCGTTTCATGCTGAGCCTGGTGTTCTGTGATGTCCCTTTGGCCACTCCAGCCCGGCCACCCTGGCCATGCTCCCTCAAAGATTCTTGTGGATCTGCTCCCTGGCAGAGCATGGGAGGCTGGGACCTCCTTGGCTTAGAGTAAGCACTGCTCAACAGCAACTAAAATATCAGAGTATTAGCAACATTATTCTCATCCTATTCTAAACCAGAACATTTTGCCAGCTGCTAAGAAAAAGGAATGAATTCTACCCAGCTGAAACCAAGACAGTACTGCAAAAAAACTGAAACACTTATTCAAGGATTATTGGGAAATATCATAAACTACTACCTTGTCAATACTGTAGGTTGAATTGTAATCATAGAGAAGTTCCACAGCCATGTCATGAAATGCAGACTGTTCTTCAAATTCCATTTTAATTTTTTTTTAAAAAGGAAAAATTTAAAAGCAGAAAAATAATGAACATTTTATTATTAAGTAAAAATATACACATATTTAAAATGCAAATTGTTTTCGAAAGTGTAATTTATACTATACTTTTTACTAAATTAAATAAATGTATAATAATTGTTGATATAGAAAAGGATTTTTTTTATCATCTTGCATATTTCAACTTAATTTATTTCCAGATAATCAGTCTAAATAGTGTAATTTTAGTCACACATCCAGATCTTATTCTTACAGATATTGATTTCAGGGCATCCTAGGTCTTTAGAAATTTCCAGTACTGACTTGCTATATGTTTAGATATTTCTGTCAGCTGTGATAAGAGAAGCCACTTAAATGACCCTTTTCAGAAGATCTTTTTTCTTGAATGGAACAAACTTCTGAAATTTGTGTTAAAAAAAGTAGTGTGTGTGTATTTCATAACTGATCAGTAAGGAGATTTTGCCCTCAATCATTTTCATTCTTTTGGTAAATCCAGAAAATGCCATGTACAAATTGAGGGTAAATTTCTCTAAGTGCTCTGTAAGTGTAAAGCTACTGTAAAGTCAGAGCTTGCCCTTTGGGTAATTGTGTCTGCGAGATTGATGTCAGCACCAAGGCATGCAAATGACAACTTCATCATCCCAGCACGACCAACTGGGCTCAGAGCTCCTCCTGCATCCTCATCCTGTGCCTCCAGATATGTCAGATCCACTTTAATCCTCACTGTAAGAAGCTTTGCCTGGCAGGTGACCCTTTTACCTCCCAGCTTTCCTCTCTGGCAGTGTCACAGGCACCCAAAACTGTCATTCAGGCCAGAGAGGAGAGCAGTCCTCTGGTCACTGTGGTGTGGGTTCATCACAGTGTGCCTGGGACAATGCCAGTCTGGAGCTAGAGCCTGAGGAACTATGTCCTTGCTGGGACAGCACTGTCTAAGCCCAGAACTCTAACAGCAGTCCATGTCTTCAGTGGTTGCAGGCAAGACTTCTTTATTCATGCAGAACTGGATGGTGTTTGGTGAGAAACACAGTACTTTAAAATAAATTTTAATCCAGCTGACATAACTTTGCTTTTAAGTGTGCTGGGACAAGACTTTTTCAAATTATCCACTTCTCTGTGCTTTTCCAAGCCCTTGACACTTCAATTATTGTTTTTGGTCTACATCTGTGTGCCAGCATGGTCTGCTCCCTGTGGGAGAAGGAAAACCAGGTGGAGAGAACACATCACATGGCCCAGAAATTCTGTGTAATGTAAAAATACCCATAGCTTTCAAGCATGTTGATATTTTTAAATGATGTGAATTAGGAAAAAAGTATCAAATGACAGTAAAAGTTCAAGGTTACATTTAATAACTAACTTTTCCTTCATAGATTTCCTACTGTAAAGCTAGAAAGTGGTAAAGATATACCAGTGTTTCACTAATAGTCCTATTCTAAGACCACGACTAAGCAGATGATAATATGCAGTACAGTGTCCATAAGGCCGGATCATGATTGCACAGACTGATTTTCAAAACAAGCTGTGAATGTTGATGAATATTGTTGGACTAAAAAAATGTATTCTAAACCAAAATAAGGAAAAATTAATGAATGAATTTCAAATCAAGCTCTGCATTGTGTACAGCTTCTTACTGTTAAATTAATTGCACCTTTTTTTAAACTGGAGATTATGTCAGGAATTCCAAACAATTTCAATTTTCTGAATTTCATTCTTACACTTTTTTCCCTAAACTGTTTAATGTGCCAAGGAAATAATCATGTTATACAGAATACCTGTATTTACTTACTGGAAGAATAAAGAAAAAAATTAAGATCTAAAAATGGTGTCTCTGTGTAATATGAGATACAGCATTAATACTTGCTGTTTCAGAAAATACGGTTTACAAATATGTTATCAGGAGTCATTACAATTCTGGGTAGTATTTGATGCAAAAGAAATCCATCTACTCCTAAGCCTTAGTACCTATTTTGGGCAGCTCCTGTTTTAGTTTCTATCATACTCTTTGTTCTGAGATCACAACTTGTTCCACAGAGTGTGGAAACTGGGGAGTATCTTAGATGTGAATTTTGTGTTCGTGTTTCAGTATTTTCGATGCATTTCTAAGCAGTTTGTCGTATCCCTTCTCTCTAAAAAGATGTTTGCTCGCTAAACATTCTAAAGTTCATTGAATAAGATGCTGCTTTGTGAATTTAAGATTTCCTTATGGTGTCTGGCACTTTTTCCTCCCCCTTCAGTAATATATAGAATCGGGAGCTTTAAGAGACTGAAAAGATCATCTAGTAAATTTTGTTCCAAATACAGATAGGGAAGTAATTTTTTTTTCCTCTGAGACTTTGTTAGATGGAAAACAGAGTTATTGGCTTGTTTGGAGCCCGGAATGAAGAGTAAAGATGCACCATGACATATGGATAGCTCATATGCCATGATGATGTATGCACACTCTCTGTGTTGACTGCAGAGATGATTTTCCTTTTGATCTGGATTTTTGGCACACCTGATAACAAGGCAAGCCCAGTGGCTTTGTGATGTTATGTTGGAACTGGTATCTGATAATTCAGGTAGCAGATACTAGACTGTTACTGGTGCAAAAATATGAAAGTGGGTTGGAATTAGATGATCTTTAAAGTCCCTCCCTATCCAGGCTATGATTTTAATTTGAACTGTTTAGAATAAACTATAGCAAGAATGAATTGGAAGTATTCACACCTCAACCAGGCTGAAAGGTGCCCTCATTAACCCATCTTCACCTGTAACATAATCTTGAACTTTTTGTTCATTTCACGAACAATAGAATTATCTTGCTTTGTTAGCAAAAAACTCCAAACCAAATGAGGGGCAGCTGGAGAAGTTGCTTGGTCTCTCTCTCTTTCTTCTGGGCTATTCTCCTCTCCCCCTCACTCCTCAGGTCCCTCTGCCCTGGCATTAAATATTGAAAGACCACACTGAGGTCTTCCTGGAGTGATATCTTTACAGGAGAGGTGCACCAGCACTGTGACCACTTCTGTGCCTCTTCTCCAGCAGTTTCTGTCTTTCCTGTGCTGGGGACCCCAGAGCTGGAGGTGGCACTGCAGGTGGGGTCTGAGCAGAGCAGAGCAGAGGGGCACAGTCCCCTCCCTCCCCTGCTGCCTGTGCTGCTTTGGATGCAGTCGAATTTGGCTCTCTGGGCTTCGAGTGGACATTGCCAGCTCATCTGTAATCTTTCATTTACCAATATGCCCAAGTGCTCCTCCACAGGGCTGCTTTTGAGCCATTCATTCCACATTCTCTGTTGATCCCAGGGATTTGTCTCACCCAGGTGCAGTGAGCAGTCTGTGTAGACTTATTTTATGGCAGCTTTAAGCTCTTCTGCCTAATCCTTTTCCTTATTTCTCTGTGTATAAAAGAGGATGTATTGAACCAGACTTTGAACATAACCAAGCTTCTTATACCTTCTGAACTTTATTCCTTTCAGTTTTATTATTGAACGAGATGCTATTTCTTTTTGTTATGGAAGAATGAGACACAATGTTCATGTCTTCCACAACACAAGTTTGTTTTCTTTGCCCATCACTTACCTACAGGTGCTTTGTTCACTGAAGTAAGAAAAAAATTGGTATTGAGAGAAGTTCAATACCGTGTTAAATCAGTCTAATGAGTTTCTCAGTTGTTCAGATCTGAAAAGAAGACTTATTCAATGTATAATTCTCACCAGTGAAAAAATGTAATGACTTTTGTTGTACTATTCATACAGCTCTTGAACTATTTGTTACTTTTACAGTGATTCTGCTGTAGTCTCTATTTTTGCAAGCATGACTTGGCATTCTCATTGAAAGATAAAGCATTTAAAGAAATGATGTTTTATATAAAATTTGTATTTTTTTTAGCGCGAGATACTTATTTGTAAAGTACAGTATAAATAGTATGTTGTATGCATATACTCAGAGATAATTTTCCTTTCTGAAAAATGGTGTTAAGTATAGGTATTAAAACAAATCTCCCGGGTAACATTTTCTGAGAATTTTGCAAGTACATTTATGTAAGGTTGTGATTTTTTCTGAGCCCAGCAAGATTAACTATTTATTTTTAGAGAGACCCAACATCAAACGCTGTATGTAGTAATTGTTTGCTGTATGCTACTTCATCAAATTTTACTGCCAAGGGAATGATTTTTATGTGTGAATAATTTTAAATATGAATCTTGAGCTGAAACTTGCAGTATTTTTTGAGATACATTATAGTATTGTTTTCAGCATCTTTGAGCTCTTTGCTTGTTGTAAATTAACCAAACTCTCCTTACATAAATATAACTGCACAATCTTAACACCTTGTACTGGTTTGAAAGCAAAACCAGTGAGAGACTCCAAGTCAGTAACACAATTTAATAGGAAAAAGAGAAAAAAAAATAAAATACATGCAGTAATACAAAAGCAAACCACTGACAG